CTTTCTGAATCTGACGGTTGCTGTATCCGTTTTTCCTGAAGGTGGTGGTGAGTGCCTCCAGTTCACTCTGTAGGCTGTCGTGGTCGCAAAGGGCTTTAGCCCTGTGTACCAGGGTCGAGAGCACGGCCTGTTTGTTGGACGGGTGGTGATGGGAATTGGAGTTGAGGTAAAGGTCGGTATGGGTTGGTTTCCGGTACACCTTGTGGCCTAATGAGCCGTCAGGTTTCCGGTGAATGTCTATGTCGAGGAATGGGAGATGTTATGGATGTCTCTTGAGAGCACAGTTATTGATGGTAAAATATTATAATGTATTTGAAGATTTTGAAGCTTTGAATTAGACTGAGCTGGGTTTGAATAAGCAGTGTAGTAGTGATGCTGTTGAACCTTGTGGTTCCATAATAATACAGTTTCTTGAATAACTTTAAGTTTATCCTGGATGATCTTGAAATTGTAGAGGAAATATAGGTTGGTCTTACATGCATGAATTTCTAGTCATGTTCGCTTACCTGTGGAGTACCTACTAAAACATTTTAATGGATTTTCATCAAATTTGTTGCTGGGGATTTTTACTAAAATTTGTCATTACAATCCAGTTTTAGCTAAAATTAGACAGTAATAATGGACATTTTATATGAAGACCTATGTGCATTTCTGTGTGCGTAATGGCTGGATGGGGAATCTCTTAGCTATATTCTTGGTTTTCATGGTTATTGTGGTTGCCTTGGTTGAAGGTCAAATGTCCAGTTCTGTCAGACACACAAAATTGTTACACTGTTTGTACGTTTCCTAACTTACTATAAACAGTATATATTGTATTTCCATTTCTTTTATGAAGAGAACATTTGTATAGAAAATAATCCCACAATTGATGGGATGAATATTATAAATCAGAAAGTATTCATAGATGAAAACTATAACTGAAATTTCCTTTTGTATTATTGGATTCTTTTTGATAAATGGTTTTGATTTTATCTTCACCTATTTTGAGGTTTTGTTCCACATGTTATATATGTCTATATTGAAAACACAGATTTGAGTTTGTAGAATTTTACAATCTTTTCACATACAATACCTTGCTTTAAACTGTTACATATTCTTGGATATTTTTCTGTGTCTTTTTTTATTGCTAAAAAATACACATTTAAGAAGCTCACTCTGCATCTGTCATCCCCAGTGGACTGATATTAGCATGAATGTGTGTGTTTTAGCCACAAAATATGATAAAGGAAAATGTTGAAGAATATGTATCAGTTTCACAACACACCTACTTCACAAAACATTAGACCATTTCCTTGCCATACCATGTTGTATTCTCAAATGTTATTGCTGATGACTGTTTAATTTCAGTTCTAAAATTGGATGGCTTACAATTATCTCCTAATGTTGAAATTTCAGGTAGTGAAGCATTTCTGAACACAGATGTTCTAGATAGCGCACAGAATGTTTCAGTCACCAGTGGGAAACTGTGGTGAGATATTTATGAATTTATCTTGTAATTAAATTAGTGTATACATATGTTCTCTCCCATGCCAATAATGGTAGTTGGTTATGTTTGCATTGAATTTAAATCTGTTAAGGTTGTATTAATTTTTTTATTACCCTAGTGATATTTTGACCTATCTTGATAAAGTGGAACAAGGCTGTGGTGCTACATTAGAATCTGCAAAAGGTGAACTCAAAACTGTGAATAATACAACCCAAAATAATGACCTGAAGTTGACAACAATGCCCAGGTTGGTGAATTTTGTTTTATTAAATCAAGCTTTAAGCAGAATACTTTATAAAATCATGTTGTCACCTGCAGAAGTTACATGGACTTCAAAGAGATGAGTGGGTAAAGCGTTTGTGCTATTCCAAAGAAGTGTCCTCACATTTGCTTCAAGGAATTGAAAAACACTTTGAAAAATCTGAATATTCTGGCTGAGATTCAAACTTGCAGACAGGAGACTTTCTGATTAGAAGTGCTGACTGCCACAGTGCAACAGCAAGTTGGGTTCTTAGGACAGACTATACAGACATGAACAAACAATTTAGTCTCAGTGATGACCACAAAATTCTAAACCTTTTACTTGTGTGTGTGTGTGTATGCATTCAGTAGTTAAAATTTACCATTTGTGTCTTAGGACAGATTAAAACAAAATGTTCATGCTCATGTTGTGAATAAGAATGTTATCTGAGTAAACACTACAATATTGAAATGACAAACTATGCTGATTATGACTGCATGCATACACACATAATACACTGCTACAATCACCTCACTACTCAGTAACTTGCTGCTGTTATGTCCTGATGATTCACTTGCTGGCTTACAACTGGGCTGGCTGATCACTGCAACTGATATCCAAAGAATCTATGATACTTCTGGAAGTTACAATTTTTCTCCAGTTCTCTCCACAAGCTTTGGGATTGTCCAGTTACATTTTGAACCATTGGCTAAACTTTATGGAACATTGTGTGAGGTAGACATGTTGCATGCATGTAGCTGGCCAGCTGCTTTGAGCTGGTTACAGTGCCGTTGGGTTGGGAGATGGGTATAACTTTAAGGCCTAGTGTCATAAGTGCTTGTGACAATATAGTTCTGTCATACTTCAAGAAGTACCTTGGTTATGGTGTCAATTAGTTGTTTAGAGTGATCAATAATTTACTTCCTTTAATGTATGATTTGAGGTTTTCACAGTGGTGAGTATGAAGATTTCTGTCTTCTGGGTTGTTGCGCTGTGTAGTATGGTAGATGTTTACCGGTAGATGTTTCCCAGCGTTTCAGAGGTCATACTGCCTCCATCATCAGGGCGATGACAGAGGCAGTATGACCTCTGAAACGCTGGTAAACATCTACCATACTACACAGCGCAACAACCCAGAAGACAGAAATCTTCATACTTCCTTCAACAGAATATACTTTATTCTAATGTTACCATAACTACATGGTTGCATAACATTGGGTAGCCAGGACACTGATAGATTGCAGCACAAGTAATTTCCATGATCACTGATGGTAGTGTGAGCAGTGATGATAGCAGCATGAATAGTTCCTGTGATCAGTAATAGATGGTGTCATGGTAGAGGATTACACTCCATCCTTGTGACTTTGAGTATCATTAATGATGGTTTGTTGAGACGTTATTAGTTCTTGCAGATTATATCAATTTTCACAGATCATGGGTAATGGTATAATGGCAGAGATTCATCCTCTCACCTCACAGCTTTGAGCATCCATCACCCATGGTAATACCAGTTTCAGGAAATTGAGAAGTAAGAGTTTGGACTAGCTTCTAATGACATAACCTCCATACCAGTTTATGAAAATCTGATTAGCCATTGACAAGTTTTCTTTGGTAGAATATGTTGTTCGTAAAATCACCATTTGCTGGCAGTTTAAAACAATTTATAAAGTGCAAGGAGAAAAGTATTAATATGTTATGAACGTTGCATGTTAAACTTGAAAATTTGCACCTTCTGTGAGTGAATGTATGTCCTGTCTGCAGGGTGGAAGAACTGCTTAACTTGAGCAAGGTAGACTTGGCTCATGAAGTACTTGCACTTCATCTACAGCTGGAGGAGAAGAGTAATAGCTTCAATTTATTGCAAGAGACATTACATGAACAGCGAAAACTCACACTCCGCAACACTAGGAACATTAACCGTGACGTGAAGAAAAAACTGCATGAGCAGAAAGAAGAATATGAAGCAGTTGTTGCCCGTCATCAGAAGTTCATTGATCAGGTGATTGATATAAAAGTCTTAAAACCTTGCATACAGTATTGATATATAAAATCATGCATACAAACAAAACTGTCTACACATTAAATATCACTTTGTACAAAATGCATTTCAACCTCAAGAGGTCATCATCAACATTTAGACAGACCTGTTAAAATTAGTGTCACTTCCCATGAAAGTGTTATGTTGTTATGATCATTTTTATAACAAGTGTGTTATTATTTATAAATTGGAGTCATGTATTTATTTTATTTCTTGAGAATTACGTGTTAATCACAGAGGCTGCAATATGTCTATATACGTAGTAATCTTTACATGTCAGAAAATTGTGCCATTTGTATTGTGGTTGATTTTTTAGCTCAAGTGTTCATAGACTACAGCTTGTATTTAAGTAACACATCCCTTACTGTTACTTCCTCAACCCTTTCATTGTCACAACACTATTCTTTGCATATGGGTATGATGTATCTGGTGTTACAAAAGTTTCTGTTTCATGCCATTTTTAGATATTGTATCTGCCTCAAAGGTTCAGGATTGGATCCAATGGTGGGTATGCTTTTATGAATAGGATGATCAACTGTTGAGTTGTATAAAAATAGGAAATTTCTTAAAAATTGTTATCTTTTTAAGGGAGACACTTTACCAATGAGTGTTTTTGTCTCAAGATAGTTTATTTTGTGATATTAAAAATCTAATATTTTAATTCTTGATTTAATTCAGTTGATAGCTGATAAAAAGAATCTTAGTGAGAAGTGTGAATCTTTGGTCTTCGAAGTGAAGAAATCTGAGGAAAATCATAAAAAGACTTTGAAAGCTGTGGAAGAACGCCATTCTGTAGAGTTACAGAGAACACGAGAAATGCATGCAGCTGGTGAGAAGCTTCGCAGAGACAGGTGGATTGATAACAAGACACAAAAGATTAAGGTAACATTGAACTCATTTTTATTCATGATTATTAAAAATCTGCATATATAAAAATTTTGTTGAATAATGTATGAAGATGAAAAAAGTGAAAAATTGTTTTTTGGGCACAATTCAAATCTACATTACCAGCATGTCTTCACAGTTGAGTTACAGGGATAGACCTCCTAGATGTAAATGACAACTTTTGGCGTACTTATTTGTTACATTGGATTATAATACAATAAAATCTTATTTAATGAATCTCTGTCAGAATGACTTTTCCTTAAAAAAAATCTGAGATTTTCAATAAATGGAGATTATCTTATTATAAGGCATGCTGTGTATAATTATATTAAAATTATTTCTTTACTTAAGTGACTAATGAAACTGTTTCTAGAAAAAATAAATAAAATAATCAGTTATGTCAAATTCATTTATGACAATTAATGACATACAATAAACACAATGTGAATTTTATTTCCTTTCCCAAACAGCTGTATTTCTGTTCCATCCACTGTATTAAACAGTAGACTAGCAGCTGTGTGTGGTTAATGCAGTTTGCAGGGAATAACACCTAACACATCGTAATCCTATAGAGAAAAGCTGTGTCTGTCGGATGAACTGAACTTTTGCTGAGAACAAGAGAATGCTCCTTTTTGCAGCATCCATCTTTGAATCGTGCAACCTTAGGAAAGTTTTAAAAGGTTCAGATGCAATCTTTGTGAGAATATTTATGTGACAGTGCCCATACATTTGTAAAGCATCTTGATTTATATTCCTCAGCACTAAGGATGAAAGGATGACAATTTTTCACTTATTTCTTTGTTTGCACACAGATGAGCATTTAACGTTTCTTTGATCTTCTTCTCTTTATGACATGATGGTTCTCCTTGTTGTTGTTTTTGTCTCTCTCTCTTCTGTCCCAAGGTTGACATCACTTTCATTATATGTAACTGTGCACAGGTTACTTATTTCACATTTGGAAGATCTGTGGCTAGAATACTGAAGTAGCTTTCATTGTGCAAAGTGCATAGATTGTCTGTCGGACAGCATGTTTTATCTCCAAAACTACTGAACAGATTTTAGTTAAATCTGGTGTTTGAGGTTGATATTAAAAGTTGTTGGTCAAAATTTAATGTTGGTTTGGATCAGTCCAAAATAATCGTCACTGTACATGAAGCTGATATTGAACTTTATCATAAAAAATATGACAATATATAAATCTCATTAGATCGATTTGAATTATTTTTTCATGCGGTTAATATTAAACAGAACACAAGGAAAAAGAATCTCCACTATATTCGGTGTGATATATATCATGTAATTAGTTTTTAAAAAATAAATTTGTACTTGCAAGAAATGTAGGAAACATCAATGCAAAACTACAAAGAACGTGTCAAAAAGATATATGTACTCTGAGTACACCTTTCTTTTCTTGTCTTTACAGTGTTCTCTTTTGTGCCAGAAAACTGACATACATTCCATGTATTAACCTCCAATCATTTCCTTTCCATCAGCAATTCCTAATACTTACTTATTCTGTCTCCTCATTGCCATCACATTATAAACCTCACAAGGAAATAATTATATTTAAAACTAAAAATTAAATAATCAGTAATTATGTATGTGGTTTCAGATTATTTCCTTTAGTGTTTCCAGTGAAGACTGTTCCTTTTGTAGATGGTACTTAGAACTTCTGACTATTGAGTTTTCATTGTTTGGTTGACAGAATGGGGGGTAAAAAATTATAAAACTTAGATTGCCTAAAATGGAGACAGCCTACACCAGATGGCAGAGAAGGTTCTTCTAATTGGAGTTGCAAAATTGTTTGTTTACAGGATTTTAGTTATTTTTTTTAAATTTGTTCTGTAGGAGATGACAGTAAAGAGCCTAGAGCCAGAACTTGAGAGAATGAATACAAGACATCAACAAGAGTTATCAGACTTAAGGTTGTTGCATAAGCAGGAATTAGATGACCTTGAAATTCGGGCCTCTCGGAAAACATCTCAACAGATGGAACAGCTCAGAGATCAACTTACTGCTGAAAAGGAACAGGCATTAGCCAAAGAAAAGGAACTACTCAGCCAGAGGTAACTGGGGTCATTTGTATTAAGCCAGAGAAAATTCTATTTTATAACTAGTAGATATATGTTGTATTATTTCTGAATCCCTGTGTTAAGTCATATTATAAGTTGCTCAGATTCAATTCAGTTCATCACCACTCAGCTCTCTGCAACTGTAATATTATCATTCTACTATACTCAATTGGTTTGTCAAGGCTTCCACATTGAAACTTTGTGTGCATTTCTTGTTTTCTCCGTATATGCTACCTGTCCAACCGATTGTAATTTTACTTAACTATTTGCAGAGTGTCTACCATTTTATTTCAGGGAAATTTGACAAATGCTTACATACTTTTGCCAGTCTTTATTGCCCAGAAGCTTTCCATAGGCCTGATAATTCAGTACATATATTTGAATATCACAGGATGAAATTATGCCTAAACCCAACATTTTCACAGGGACTCCAACAAGTACTCTTTCCAGGTTTATGACCTTAGTTCTTGTTATCTCCTCACTGAAAGGATATAGGATATGTTGTATGTCAAATGTATGGTACTTGGTGTTATCTGGTTTGTGGGCAGAGTTTGTTATCTCTTTATGCAGAATTGAGAAACAAGTAGAGCAAGAGGAACTGGAATACCAGGCACGACGACGTAGGTTCTTAGGAGAAATCCGCCGAGAGAAAGAAAGACTTGCAGAAGAAGAGACAAGAATGAGCAAAGAATTAGAGGAAACTAAACAGAATTTATCTAGAGAAAATGCTAAGGTTATAGAAAGGCTGAAACAGGAACATAAGGAGACAATGGAGGCATGCTCAAGGAAACATCAGGCTGGTGGAATTTTATAAGATAATAAATAGTTTTGGTATTCTAGTAAGCAGTATAAATATCGAGGTAATTCTGTTTTCTCATGAACATTATGGAACACTCTGATTCAATATGAAATACAATTGATCCCATATGTTCTCTTGATGTAATGAAGTGTTGGAGTGATAGTAGTTTATTAATTATTTTGGACTAGATTCATAGCTGTTACAGATTGTGTGAGATTATTACCTCACGATTTGCTAGAGGAAGCTAAGGAAGGCTGCAAGCTAAGAATGTGTGTTCATGCATATTGTGCCATACTGACTTGTAGCAATCATAAAAGAGTGGTTCTTCTGTCATCTACAGAATGAAGTGAAATCTCTTAAAGAAGCATTAGAAATTGAGAAAGAAGCTTGGATGCACAGCTATAAGAAAGACCTAGCGACACATATTTCTGAACAAGAATCTGAGTTAAGGAACCAGTATAAAAGAGAGCGAGATAAGGAGATTGAGCTTGTGATAGAGAGGCTGGAAAGTGATGCAACTCGAAGTAGGGTAGAGCTGGAGCAAGCCATGGACAATAGACTCAGGTAAATGGTTCATGTGAAAGTAAATAAGTGGATCACATAAGTTCTTGTATCTAATAGTGCTGACCAGATACTTGCATCCTGTATGTTTTCAGACGATTAAAAGAGAAGTTTGATGCTGAAGTCAAAGACTTGGAAGATTCAGAGAAATCAATAAAAACCAAGTATAATGAGACAAAGGGTAAATTAGTAGAGAAAGAAGATGAGGTTATCAGTCTAAAAGCCAATGTTAGGCAACTAGGAAAGGAACTGGAAGAAGCTAGGAAGGTATGTATATAATGACTTCAGAGTCAGGATACACTAAAATTATTATGCAAAGTAAATTTTGAATGAAATGAGCAAAATGTTTTTAGATGTTTGCAGTTGTATATTTGATTGCATCTAGCTGCTGGATGGGCAGGTGAAACATAATATTTTCTCATATCACCTG